GTCTGGCTCTGAGAGGTTGCCGTGTCCGCTAAAGTGGGGAAATCTGGCGGAGCACGCTCTGCTCTGCATCGGACTCCTTCCGAGCGCGCTCCGCTCCGCACTGACGCAGCAACCTCAGCGGAAAAAGAGAGAGCTCGCTCAGTCTGTCTTTCGGTGCGTTAGCCATTTCGTACCAACCTCGAGAACTGGAGGAAATCGAGACAGATTTTTTCGAAGGGAAATTTACAAGCCGCCTCGAACCGTTCGGACAACTACTCCGGTGGAGGGGACCAGCCTCTGGGCAAGACGTCTTGCAAATGTTTTTGTGACTCTGACTGTTCGTGCAGCGCAGCTACGACGAGTAGGGCCACTGAAGACACGTTGCAAAAAAAAACCCCAAAGGATCATGGTTGCAGAAGCTGTCTGTCTTTGGGGGTCGTTTGGGCCAGCTAGGTCCTACTCCAGGTCCACTTCCCGAGCGTCATCTCACGCGGGTTTTATGGAGCTTTCCAATTTTGTGGGGTGACAACGGCAGATCGGAGACTTGTACGGGAGTTGCTGCGGCTAAGCATGCAAAGGACTGCAGTAGGTTTGCATGCGACACACAAAAACGAGCAGCTCCTGACGACAAGCGTGTCGGCAAATCATTTTTTATCGTTTGTTAGATCGCCATGGTAGGTTGAATTCAATCCAACTTGGCGTCTAAACACTTTGTTCGTAATGAGAGATGTTTCGCTTCTGCTGTAGCATGCGGCTTTGCTATGCAATGGCTGTATTTTACGAAGCCGCCCACAAGACGGCAAATGTGCACCGGGATGTTTTGTTTGAGACTGTTAGAGTCAGAGCATTGAGAAGTACAGTTAAACCCGGGGATTTCAACACAACCAATTTTCCCTCAACTTGACCTTGGGGGACCCGGCCTCTTTCCTTCTCACTGTTGCAATATTTTCAGCTAGCATGTCCTGATGTCGCGACCAGAAAACAACAGTACTTACACTGAGGCTCTTGTGTGCCTGTTGTTTGCGATGCCCGTGCGCGATAGGACAGTTCTTTCGAGCCCTGATCGTAGGCGCGATAAACAGTCAGTTTTGAGAACTCAGACACAGTTTTCTGCAACATTGAGTCTTTGGGCAGTGTACCGCCGTGTCGGGTGGACATTGTTGCAATTTTGGCTTGCAGATGCCATGAGGGCTTCTTGCAGCTGCCCAGGCCCTTACGATGATCGTGAGGTACGTACGACTTAACGGTGCCCAATTGTTTTGGCAGGATGGACGTGTTGACAGCCCTGTTGACACCCAACCCTGATGTGCCTTGGCATCAGCTGGAGCGGATCTGCACGTTTCATCCTGCTGAACCAACCAAATATCAAACACCGATTTGACTCGTTTGCAGATGGGAAGCTGCCGGTCAAGACAATTTGGATGCACCTTGTTTGTGCTCAGGGCTGTGAGTGTTTCGAGCCAAATCCCTTCAAACCGGTCCCTGACTTAGTTTCCTCTGAGTGCGTGGTCACTTGGTGGTGCAAGGTGTTTCTGACCGTAACCGCTCGTGGTGCTGCAGGAGAAATGCAAGAATTGCGGAAGAGTGTGGACGGAGCACTTGGGAGTGATTTCGGAGGCCAGAAAACTCCACGTAACTCCGTTTCACTTCCCGAGTGGACAGAGCCTTGTGCCAGGCTCACCTTAAAGTCTTTTTCCAGCAGAGACAGAAGTCCCAAGAGGACAAAGACAAAAAGGAGGAGCCACAGTGCTGCGGAAAACGGAAGCATGTTGGACAGTTCCACGGAAGGCCGAAGCAAAGCAGGCTGCGGCCGCTAAGAAGTCGGCCAAGAAGAGAGCGAGCCAGGCAGAAGAAGCGTGCAATTGATAGCATGTGCGAAACCTCGCGGTCATGTTCACTCAGGCGGTGGAAGACGACTGGCTTTTCGGTGCAGACAAGGAGGGAAGTTTCGTGAGCTCGTCCTCCACTGTTGTCCACCGCAGCAGCGAAGTCGCCGCAAGGATGAGCCTGAAAAGAACGACGAGGAGTCCGATGATGATCTCGGCTTCCGGATGCATCTTGGCCTTCTCAGATTCAGACACTTTCGTCGATCACCCTCATGCGTTCAAGTCTTGCGTTTGACTCAGGTTTTCTGCAGCAGACTTCGTCACCTCGGACCCTGGCCCCATAGAGCCCAACAGGCAGCTCAAGGCATGAGCACAAGCCTTCGAGACTTCGAGAGCAAGAGGGTCGGGGCATCTTGTGGTCTGTGTGGAAGGTGGTCAACCTGATTGACTGGGGGGAGTGTGATGTCGCCCAGGACGGCCCAAGGTTTTGTCGCTTAGGTTTTCATGCAGTGGAGTGGTCTGTTGGTCTGACAGCCACGGCGGTCGGCCGTGAAGGAACATGAAACCGGAATGCAGAGTGGCAGGGCTGCAGCCTACGACATGTCAAGATCACACTTGACCCGGCAGGAGCTTTCCGGAGCTGGTGAGGCGGTCAATCACCGCGTCGAAATTGCACCTGCTGTCACAGTGTTTGCCACTGCAGCGCACGGTCAGGCAACGGGCAGCTCAGCGAGCACGATGGCACCGCCTGTAGAGGCCACGCAAGCCCGGCAAAAACTTGGTCTGGGCATGACAACCGAAGATTTTGTGAGGTTCGGCAAGCAATTCCGGATCCACGTGCAGGAGGCAGCAAATGGCTGGGTTTACATTTGGCAACACTGATCGCTATGAGAGTCCAAGGTGATTCGCATTTCCAGGAATCCTTCGGCTGCAGCCTCAGACTGAAAGAGTAGCCGATGATACTGAATCACACTAAAAGTCGTCAGGTTCCAATCCTAACCTGGTACCCCTGTCCGGCAACCAGGATACGTTTCTACATGCCTGTGATCGCCACATGCTGGAAGCTGTGTGTGGCTTCGGCAGGATCTCGTGACAGAGATCCAGCATTTGAAGCAAATGCTTGCTGATGCAAACGAAGAGAAAGACATCCAGGTGCTTAGCTTACTTAACTTGCTGTAGCTTTCCATCCGTGCCACTGTCCCGAGTCTCTGACCAAAGGTTGCCATCGTTCGCGATGAAGTCCAGGAAAAGGATCAGGAAATTCAAGCGCTGCTTCGCCAGAAGAACGAGACCGAGGCCGCAAAGGAGCATTTACGAGCTTCAGTGTTCGCGAAGGAAGTATGCAACATGACTGCAACATGTGCCAGAGCCAGTGGTCAGGCGCTCCTTCGAGAAGCACGTCAAAAGATTGAAAGTGAAGCACTGACCTAAATCTCGGAACAGGACAAAGCTCCCCAGATACATGTTTCGTTTCATGTGCAGGCATCGCACCCAGCAGATGCATCAGTGTCGCCGGAGCAGCTGGCAGAGGTGATGTTCTTCACCGTGTGGCACTTTGGGGGTTCCATGCTCTTCCAGGTCCAGCAGCTCCGAGCCCAGGTTGCTGAAGCTGAGGCCAAGCTAGAGGCCGCGGTGACCTTGCAAGAAGTGTTACTCTGATGAACTGCTACTAACACAGGCCCGGGAAGCGCAGGATGCTGC